TTCTAATATTTTGTACTTGATATCCTCCTGATCAAAAGTGTCTGTGGGCATAAAGCCCAAAAATGGACAGATTTTGAGATACCGAGGAGCAAAGTCCCTTACAATGAAACATTTGTTGGCACCGCACGGTAATTAGATATATACGATTATGGATCTAATAGATACTTAAGTGCAATATTTTCATGTACATTTGGCCCAATTGAGTCCGATAAAATCTATCTACCATAATATATATATATATATATATAGGATGTCCCATTTTAAATTACACACCTGAATAGCTCGTCACTAATCCGAAAATAAGTAACCCTTACGAAAGTTGTTGGGCTTGGAGGAGGACACCAGCAATTACCTTCAATTTGACCTTGATATTGACCTTCAAGGTCATTTGAGGGTCAAATCTAATTTTTTAAATAAGAACCTCTATTTTTGACCCCGAATTTGGAAATAGTGCAAAATTTTACGTTTAGATAGGTAGGTACTTAAGGCTCTTCTCTGGAATTAGCTTTAAAGGTTATTTCAAGGACAAAATATTTTAAATTACGTACCTGAATATCTCGCCAGGGGAGCCAGCAATCCGAAAATAACGCTTACAGAATTTGTTGGGTTCGGAGGAGGACATCGGACGGTGTCCTTCAATTTGACCTTGACGAAGAAGAAGAGCCTTAAGTACCTATCTAAACGTTAACGAACGTATCTATTAAAACGTCAACAAGCCATAAATATGTACGTAAAATTTGCGCTGTTTCTGAATCCGAGGTCAAAAATAAAGGTTTCTATTAAAAATATGAGATTTAACCTTCAAATGGCCTTGAAGGTTAATGTCAAAGTCAAATTGAATGTTACCATCGGATATCCCCCTTTGAGCCCTTGTTGGGTTTCATAAGGGTTATTTTCGGACTGGTGGCTTCCCTGACGAGATATTAAGATGCGTAATTTAAAGATTATGGAAGTTAATTGGGTCAAATATTCATGAAAATATTGCACTATGATCCAAAATCGTACATCTAATTACCGTGCGGTCCCAAAAATGTTTGATTTTAGGAGACTTTGCACTTCGGTATTTCAAAAACTAACCATTTTTGGACTTTGTGGTCATTGACATTTTTTATCAGGAGGATATTAAGTAGGTACAAAATATCAAAAATCCAGACAAATCCATCGGGACCTGAAATCCATAAGGTTTGTGTGGAGTCCTTTGAGAAAGTTACCAATAATATAGAGTGCTTTCCGATCAATTAACGATTCCAGCACCATACAGGTATAACAGTTCTTCTTCCTCTCCATAGACAACTTTCTGAGCTTGCATCTGTTCTTTTCTTGCTTAATAAGCGACTACACTACCTGAACAAGCGCTCCGCCCTACCTTGTGTGCGCGCGAGTGTTGACCCGATGGGCGCTCGGTTTTAGGTTCATAAAATCGGAACGGATAAGAATTTTGTTTTGAAAATTTGGCAGCGTATTTTTGAATAGTTATATTAACAATTTATACAATAAAAAAATCCGATTTTTTGAAACTCCTTATGTGGTTCCCCCTCTCAATTTAATGTGCTTAATACATCAAGTGTATGAGTCTATATTCATTGCTCAAAACAGTGTTAATAACATTGATATTAGTAAATTTCGAAAATACCTTTTCTATGAAAAAATTATGTGGCATACTCATATAAAACTAAGAAGTCCAGAACTTTTAATAAACAAGACGTAAATACATTTTTAACAGAAGTCTCGAATCATGATTATTGTTAAAGTTATTTTTGATAATTTTTAGTGGTTGCATTAAAAATTTCGACATTTTAGTTCTTTGTAAGTTCAACTTCTTCAATAGAAAATGTTCCTTGCAATAGCTACATATGCTATCTAAAATGACCCTATCCAACAGAATTTACTGCTGACTGTTACTGCAGGACTTCAGCCATATTACTTCCAGATGGAGGTGAAGGTTTGAAGCATCATAGAGGATAAAAATTTTCAACCGTGGCAAAAGGTATTCTCTTCAGAATAAAATAAACAAACAAAATAATATTCTTAATGTAGAAAACGAACAAAATAACCTGAAATTTCAAGAAACGAAGCCGATATTATTGACAACACAAACTATTATTGTCGAATTATAGGCGGCAGCACAACAAATTTTATATACGACACACTCAGAAAGTGTATTTACAGGGCTCTCATGTTTTTCAGGGCGTCGACCTCAGTGTATCCCTGAAACCTGCATGGTCGCCATGTAAAGTACCACTTTCTAATCTTGGCACGTAAATAACTATGTCAGTTATAGGAATTACAAACCATATAGTAACCCATAACAATTATTAAACATCTCGGTTTGCCCAAATTCGTGAAGTAATAATTTATCTTATCTGTTACATAAATAGTCACTATTTTATTTAAATAGGTATTACGTTCGTCTCTGTAGCTGTCAAATATTTCTGATAGTTGCTGCTATGGAAATAGAACTATTCACCTATTATTGTTACTGTTCAATTAATATCACTGAATATATTTTGAGAATCTTGTTTGAATTTTACTTAGCAGTAGTTATTTACTTATAGTCCACGGGCCCACGTACAAAGAAAAAAATGATTACCAGCAAGCTGTAACTTTGCGTGCAGCTTAAGTTTGACGAGTCTCCCAAGATTTGACTACGAGGAAAATTCAAGAGTGGTAATTTTTCCCGTGATTTTCAGGAAAACATGTCAATCTGGCATAAACATGGATTGTTATGACCAGCACTTTTTTTAAGTTTAAATGAAAGATATATTTTTTTAAACCCCCCAAAAAATTTGTCCGACAAAAATGTTGGTATTTTGAGTTTGTCCCCCACCCCAAATATGTCGATTTGGTGACATTATGGTTGGTGACAACCAGCAAGCTGATTTTTCTGGGAGGGTTTGGTAATAATAAGATTTGAAATGAAAGTATCTTATTGTCCGACAAAATTCTTGAGAAGTTTTTGCAGTCCGACGCACCGAAGATGTCGACTTAATGACAACATGGTTGGTTATAACCAGCTGTCGGACAAAAGCGTCATTATTTAAAAAAATGCAATATTAATCTGAGAATTTAATTGTCCGACAAATTATCTGTTTATTTTTGCTTGTCCGACAAAATTAAACTATAAAATTTTGCGGTTTCAATACTTACGCATGATGAAGAAAAATTTATATTAAAAAAAAATATGTTTAACTTTCTCAAATTTCAAAATAAATATGACTAATTTTATACAATTACAAAAAAATTGTATACAGGGTGGTCCCGAACTAATAGGTCAAAATTCATGGGTAGATTCTCGAAGCAAAAATATTGCGATTTAGCCGAACTTACCTTAGTCGAAAAGTTGATAGTTAAAGAGATACAGGGTGTTAAATGTAAAATATTATTTTAGTTTTATTTTCATTTATTCCTTAACAAATGCAAATATCCTCACAAAATTTTGAGGTTTGGAGTTCTTTAAGTAGAGGAATTGAAATGTGTTCACATTTTGGTTAAAGTTCATAGAGGGCGCTAGCTACAGTAGATTGAATGTGTTAAAAACGACATAACTTTTTTATACTTTAAGGTATCTCATCTTTGGTATCAAATTCTTATTTTCCAAGTTTTTTTTACACAAAAAAGCACACTTTATAAAACTAGCGGTCTCGCACCGTTTTCGAGATATTTGGCTTTGAAACTTCCAATGCTGTTGAATTAAATTACAATGAAGTACCTACCTATTATTAATTTAGCGGTGAAGTTTCTTAAGTTTGGACGAAAATCAAATAATTGACATATTCCACTTGTCTTATTGCTGTCATTTGTATGCTACTGTCCATTAAGTATTATTCGTACCTAAAATTACATCTTAATTTAAATTGTATGTACATAAATGTGAGATGGAATGCCGAGACTTCCGTTTTTGGGGTTACATGAAATCAGTTGTTTATGGAGAAACTATAAACACCTGTTAAGAACTTTGGCAGCAGGTTTTAAATGCTGCAAAGTCATTTCGCATTAAGGATTTATACTTTACAACAAGACAATCTTTTAATAAACGCGTTGATAAATGTATAATAATATTTTTAAAATTGGTTTAAAATTGGTTTAATTGGTTTTTCAAGAACAAAACTATGTGTAAACTGTTTGTCAAAACAAGATTGCAAATTTTAATTTAAAAAAACACAAGCAAAAATTTATGCATTCATTGTACAGTTACCATTTTTTATAAAATAGTTACAATAGTTTATAAAATAAAATGTACATATAAGTTTTTTGAACAAAGAAATCATTTTGATGGAGATTAATTAAATTAGTTAGACATAATTATTTATGAATTTCAATTTATGTTGCTCCTGTTAACAAGATAATTTTCTTATTTATTCTTCTTTATTTTTTCATTCAAGAATTATTTATTTTATAGCGGAATGAACATTAGGTACCATAAAAATAGTTATTCTTCCCATTTTTAAGGCAAATTTTCCAATCTTTTTGGTGGACAAGTATATTATTGTATTATACATTGCAATTATTAGAGAAAAAAATCAAAACCAGATTGCTGGTTATCACCAACCATGTTGTTGTTAAGTTGACATCTTCGGGGCGTCGGACTGCAAAAACTTCTCAAGAATTTTGTCGGATAATAAGATACTTTCATGTCAAATCTTATTACCAAACCCTCCCAGAAAAATCAGCTTGCTGGTTGTCGCCAACCATAATGTCACCAAATCGACATATTTGGGGTGGGGGACAAACTCAAAATACCAATATTTTTGTGGGACAAATTTTTCGGGGGGTTTAAAAAATATATATCTTTCATTTAAACTTAAAAAAAAAGTGCTGGTCATAACATTCCATGTTTATGCCAGATTGACATGTTTTCCTGAAAATCACGGGAAAACTTACAACTGTTGAATTTTCCTCATAGTCAAATCTTGGGAGACTCGTCAAACTTAAGCTGCACGCAAAGTTACAGCTTGCTGGTAATCATTTTTTTCTTTGTACGTGGGCCCGTGGACTATTACCCGCAGTAAATTGTTGTACTGGATTTGCTTCTGCAAATCGTCACGATACTGCTGAATGGCCAACTTTTCCAAGCGATCGCTCTCCTCCTGCAGACACTTATTTCTCTCGTAAGCGATTCGAATCATCTCGTTCTCTGCCTCTTTTTCCTTCAGCTGCTGTTCCGCTTCCTGCCGCTTGAGGGCTATTTGCTCCGCTCTTTCCTGCAGTACGCTCTGGAAATAAGAATATTTTAAATTATTGGTGGTCATATTCGTTTTGTGGATAAGAACGGTGCCAATAGAAGGAAGAACACAAGAGGTTCGAGATAAAACTACAGCGTCGACGACGAGATTATTACTTAAATTATGAACTTATAAATAGTTGAGAAGTAACTTTTTTTATATGTTACGTAAGAAATCATTTGTAGCTTATTTTGTCATAAAATTTAATATTCATAAACAAACTAATTTAAAATTGAATGGGCCATACAATTATTTTTATCATCTGTTAACATTATTTTTCTATAGATACTAGGTACTTATTTATTAACCATAAGCGTCTTTACAGTTCAACTATTATGTTGTTAACCGTTATTACTTTACACATTTTTTTTTTCATTTTTAGCTTGTCGGATCGATTATAGCAAATCTAGTCGGATCAATTTCATCATATACGCTCCTAAGTTGAATCTAATAATGCAAAATATAAAAAATCATTATTGGTTTTATAGAGGGTATCCTATAAGTACGTGTGCAATGGAAGACCACAAATTTCTGAACTCAAAGGAGGACGAAATTCATATAAATCCGAAATCAGTTGGTAAATGGCTAGACGGAAAGTTGCTGGGAAATAAGTATGTCAAGTTTTTGTTGTAACTAAATGTTTCTTTACATTATTGTTAAAAACTTAAGACTTCGGACAAATTTAAAGGAGATATTATTTGAGATAATATTTTAACTTATATTAATATGCAGGTTATTGTGCTTACCTATATGTGGAATTGTCTTGAGGAGAAAGGAAAAGTAATTACAATAGTACGTTCAGCATGTAATAGTTTATTTGTATTTATTTGAGTCAGTTTACTAGGTTCTGTACATTATACGTATGGAATGCCTTAATACTGCAGATTTACGTACATGCAGAATGAATCAAGTCCGCGTACTAGATAACGTTCACATACGGACGGAATTATTTAAGGGGTTTGTTTTGGAAATTGATTAAATTCTATAACCAATCTGTTGAAGTACAGACCTGCCAACGTTTCATTAAAAAACAATGATATTTACGCCTTTTAACAGAAAGTGCAATAATGTTTTTCTTAGTTTACAACTAATTCAAATACATTTTCATTTTCTCTTAAACTTACCTCGTGTAATTTACGTTTTGCTTCAATTACTTTGCATCTAGCTTCGTCCTGCTTCCTTTGAACTTGCTGCTGGTACTTATGCAACAATTCGTCCAACTCTTTCTCTTCTCTTTTCCTGGTATCAACGAGTTCTTTCAGATGCTTACGGTATAGCATGGTTTCCCTTTTTGCTTGAGTTGTGTAGTCTTTGATAGCCTCTCTTTCTTTCTTAAGTTCCAGCTGAGCCAGCGTGTTGAAGGCATCGTTTAGAGCGTTTTCCTCTTTCTTCCTTTGGTTCAATAATTCTTTTTGCTTTTCGATTTGCTCTCGAAGTTCTTGTGCTGTTTGGTCTCTTTTCCTTGCCTTCTCCATCTCAGCTACAATAGAGGAAGATGGTTGAAAGAGTAAAATAAAAATAATAGTTGAAGGAGATTTAAATATTGTTCAGGGTATCAGTGGGAAAATACACCTTCAGGATTTTTAACTAACCTTCGATTTTCTCCTTTTTGATTTGGTCATTTAGTTTGCACATTTCAATTCTGTCCTCCTCTTCAACTTTTGCAACTTCTTCCTTTAAAAGTTCCCTTCCTTTTATTTGCATGTTCCAAACTTGCATGAGCTCCTCTTGATGTTGCTTTTCCTTTATCGTTTCCTGCCGCTCCCTTTCGACCTATTTCCCAAACTGGTTTTATAGGTATGTTTAAAGTGAACAAACGAAATGTATGGAAACTAAGGCTTTTTTAAGTTAGTTGAACTGAAATTATTTTTACCTTACCTTCGCCTGTACTTCTCTCATCATTAAGTGGTGCCACATCCTATCCAGCTCTCTTTCGGCTTCTCTTCTGGCCTCGTTCTCTCTTATTTGTTGAAGTTGACTATTTTTAGCCTCCACTATATGCTTTTTCTCCAAATATGGCCTCAGCTCTTGTGAGCGGTTCCTAAAATAATAAGTTTTCTATAATAGTATGCCATTGAGAGTACAAGGTATACTCATTTAGGAAAATATAAGATGATAGTTATATAACATCTTGTGTATTCTTTTAAGAAAAAAAATAGAAATAGATAAGCTAAAATTTGCGTAATGCAATTATGTGTACTCATTTCAAGTTATAATTTATTTGTTAAATTTAAAGCAGTTCAGTACTTGTACTGCTCTATCCTCTTTTCTTGCACAATAGCCTGACGTTCAGCTTCTTTTTCAGTCCTTAGAGTTTCAGCGCGCCTCTTCATTTCCTCCATCCTTGTTTCGTTTCCTTTTTGAGCTCTGTCTACGGTCTCATAATAAAATTGCCTTTCTTCCTTACAAAGCAGGTCTCTTAATCTAAAAACATGTTCAGTTCCAGAGTGAAATATATTTCGTAATATTTCTCAATAAAATATTCATTTATTCAAATGAAATTTATAAGTTTAAATAATGCTGCAAAATGAACATTATGACAGTAAACTTCGTAAATTAAAATTATTTATATTAAACAGTGTTCTTTATCAACATTTTTCAAAAACTATGATTTGGCAGTCAGAACAAGGAACAAAACTGTACGTAAAAATAAGTATTTTGTATACCTTTCTCGTCTTCTTTCAACAGCATTTTCGTAGTCTTCGATCTTTTTCTCAACTTTCATTTGGATCAATCTTTTGAGGAAAGCCTTTTCAGCATTTATGTCGTTTCTAATTATATTTGCTTGACTGCTGTACATTTCTTTTATACCACTCAGTTTATTAGCGACAGCCTCTTTCTTTCTTTGATGGTAATGCAACATTTGAACGTCATAGTTGGTATTTGGTTCTCTTGCAATCTTAAACAAAGAAAATAATATACATAATAATAATAATAATAATAATAATAATAATAATAATAATAATAATAATTATTATTATTATTATTATTGTTGTTATTATTATTATGTTTATTTACCTTAGCAAAATAAGTACCTGTTCATAATCATTAATAGAAGAAAATTAAACACAAAAAGAGACCTCCAAAGGAAAACAAGCATGTAGGTTAAATTCTATGCAAGATATTATTCAACTATTTGAATTATTATCTACAAGACAAAATAATGACATTTTTAGTTGATACGAATTGTTAACTATTGATATTTTTTGTTTATTAGAATATTCATGCTCTCTCGTGGAATTGTCTATTTTTTAAGTTTAAAGAGTTTCTATGAATTAATTGTTTTATATTTATTTGGTACAATGGGAAATATTTATGAAACATATACTTATTAAAAAATTTTTAGTGAATTTATAACAAAGTGCTACGGTAGATAACATTCAACATTAACAGATGTAAGCTTACATTCAACGCTTGGATGTATTATGGGTTGCATTTTAAATAAAATTTGTACATAAACTGATAGGCTCATGGTAGATGTCTAATAATTCTACATCATTAATGTAATATTCAGATTTCAAATATTTCTGGAGCAGGAATAGGTTTAGAAATGTAGACAAATGTTACTTACATGTTGGTATTGTCCAGGAGTTGAACCAGGAAACTGAATATCTAGGCGTAGAGGACAATTTCTGGTTTTCCTGGAACACTTTGGAAGTTCTAGATCGTTTTCATTCATATTGACAATCCAGAAAGGAAAAAATAAACTAAAATTAAAGTTGTAGTGTGACAGTAAAACTTGGAATGTCTTGCTAAATCGATTGTAACTATGGTAATAGAAAAACCGGAAGCTAAGAATCATTATCTACTCAGGTAGTAACCCTTGGTAAATGAACTATAAAATACGCACTTACACTAATAGTCCAATCGCCCTAGTCAAAATTGTATTTAAAGATGGCATTAATTCCGACCTGCACAATTTTTTTCATGTGGCTAGCTTTTTGCTAGTAAATGAGGGAAAAATTGTTCTGCACGGGAGCGGACCGGGAAAATTCAGGAAATAGCCGGAAAACTGCAAAAAAACTCATTTCGTGAATAACCTGAAAAGTATTAGGAATTTCACAAACGTGCAAAGGACCAAAGTTGTACAGCATAAAATTTCTGAAAAAATTGAATTATGTTCCATAATTTTAACTTTTTACTCAGAAAATTTGAGATGAAAGTGAACTAATATGAAGAGACAAGATTTTCGTAGAAAAATGAGGATTTATTACTGCAATCACGTGAAGGTTAATTTTTTTCCACCCAAATGACCTCCGCAAAAAATGTGTCAGATAAACGTAGCAAAATTTTGCAGTGACATGTTTCGATAACTTTGACTTTGAAGTTGGAAACAATTTTCAAGGTCATTTCAAGGTCAACTTCGATTTTTTATGATGGAACCCACACTCTTAGTTCTGGATACCTAGGTAGCTAGGTAGATACATGATACGTGATCTTGTGGTGTCAATTGGACCTCACACATGATACATCATCTGAACGTAGAATTTTCCGCTCTTTCCGAATCCGGTGTTGAAAATAAGAGTTTCCATTAAAAAAAACTAAGTTGAAATGTCATTGAAAATGACTTTCAAGGTTAGACTAATTCACGACAATATGTGCTTGGAGACCAGTAACTTTCATCTGAACCATTTTTTACATAACCGTGTACTTTGGATTTTAGAAAGGATGGACGGGTGGTCTGGGACACCCCGTATATACTGAGACCTGAGAAACAATACGTAGATGTTTTCTCCGGACTGGAAAAAAAAGTGGAGCCAACGCGTATAGCTTAAAAATATGAATGAGACAAAACACGATTCATACAAAATGCATGTTGCATTAACTTTGTAAAAAAGCGTAAAGATCGACTGCCAACTAAATTCTACTCGCGATAATCCCACACTGTTTTCTTAAGGAAGGAATTATTTTTTCCTATAAAATAGTACATAGAAGGAAAATTTGAAGCTCCGCCTTTCGAACAAACTATGTTTCACGCATATTTCATCAAGAAATGAAAGAGTAGTCGCAGATTTAGTCGCTTTGAAATACGTATTTTTCTGGCTAATTTTCAATATTTTAAAACAACGTGACAACATACATAAAAAAATGTTGTGGCAGGTGTTGGTACAGTGGACGATGTGTAGTGCCAGAGTGCGTTGATTAAAACGGGCAGTAACGTATGTAGACGCGACTGCATTTGGTCAACTTTATGATGTTTGACATTTCGCTCATGATGATGGTTGATTGTTTTAGGTTCTGTCTTTAGAGACTTTTTAATACCTTCAGTAGCGTCGATTGTGTATGTAATTAGCAGCAATAAATTTCAAATTGTTCTTATAGGTACAGCAATAATTAATATTAAAATTATGTTTCCCTCCTAGAATTCGACTTATCGAATTATTATGCTCGAGTTATCAAGAACTTTGAGTAATAGAAGTTCGAGTTATCAAGTAAAAAAAAATAACATTAACTTCCCACTGCTAATGCTGCTGCCAACCAGTTTTGTTCGACTTTCGAAATTCGAGTTATAGTTTAACTGTACTAATATAACATAAATACGACATGTATAGTTTTTTTTGTTAGAAATCATGTTTATTTGCAAAAAATAACAAGTGATTTTTATATTGATTTACCAAATTATTACAGTCACTTTTATTTTGGAAGAATCCGCCAGTTATTCAAAAAGAATACTGTAGTCCAGTCAATGACTATTTTCCTGTATAATTTTGCCAAACAGCACCGATTTTCATTAAAATTTGAATTTAGATTCTACTTACCCTCTACTTCAAAGTTGGCCTTGTACTGGGGGTTGCTTTTACCCTGGGGGTGTATACCACCTCTTCTCGGGGGTGACTGTAGACCCAATACAAGCGGAGTAATAGCTTGTTGAAGATTGGTTCTTATTCGTCAAACGACAAAATTGAAAGTTTGAACGTGAAGTAACCAAAAACCAATGCATTTTTCAGGGAATACTCATGGAACCTTTTCTAAAGTACTTGAAAAAACCTTTATTTTTATTTTTTATAGAAGTCCCTAGCATCAAACCTAAGCAAGTTATGACGAAAATAAAGTTGATCCGTATTTTTTTCGGCGATAAAGAACCTGAAAATCGCCTCCTAATTGCCACCCCAATTGAAAATAACCATAACCACTTTACAATTCAATTCACAATACAATTTATGTACTTGTAATAAGCTCTAGAAGATTGACCGGTTTAAAGTGCTTAGTTTTGAAGAAAGTTGAGCTTGAAGTGAAAAGAGAATTTTGTATTTTTGGAAAAAATTGTCTTTTCTTTAAAATAACTCAATAAGTATTAATGATTGAAATTTTGTAGAGTACAAAATTGTAGGTTTTGCTTCTTTGAAAATTTTGTTTTTTTTTTCTGTAGGATAAAAATTAAGTAAGATATGGCCGTTTAAAGTTTGTATATGTTCGTAAATAGCAACTTGTTCAAGCCCTTTCAGCTCAAACCCTTATAAAAATGAGGGCTGAAAGAGAATGTAACTTATTCGATCTTATAGCCCTTGAAAAACCTACAAAATGGTTATTTGAAGGGCTTGACACCATAAAAACTAAGCGAGTTATGGGTAAAAAACTAATCATATATTTTTGCAGATATCAGAACACGTACCTATATTGAAGCATTGATGAATACACATTATAGCTATATTTTAGGCACAGGCGTATTTACATCTATTCTACTCTTCTGCAATTCGACATGTATCAAGAGGAGGACAAAGAGGAAGACGAGGATGAGGCGAATGTGGAAAGGAATAAGGACGAAGATGAAAAGGAAGACGAGAGTGAAGAGGATTTTTGATTATTTATATGTTATTTGCAATAACAAAATTTTTGTAATAAAAATAAAAAAATTAAAATCCATATAAAAATAAAATTCTCGTTTTCACTATTTTTGATTGCAAATTTTAATTAGTAGGGTCTTTTTAAGGTTTGATAAAATAAAGACATTACATTTTAAATAATAAAAAGATTGTATTATATTTTGAACTAAAAATTTTTTTTAACTATAATTGTTCGGTTTGTTTTTGCAAGTGGTAGTATTTATAGGGGTTGAAACTTATAAATAAATAATAAAAAATTAGAACACTAAAGAAATTTTAATTTAATATCACTATATGATGAAATTATTCCAAGTTGCTGAATAATATTTTTCA